GACACACACACACAGACACACACACCCACACACACACACAGAACACACACACATAGCCACACACAGACACACACACAGACACACACAGACACGCACACACATAGACACACAGACACACACATAGACACGGTTGGTGTGTGTCTGTCCGTCAACAGGTCTGCCCACAGATGTGTCTCTGTCCGTGTCCGATGACGATCTGGTCTCCGTGATGTCCGGGAAACTCAACCCTCAGACGGTGAGATTCACTAACTCACCACTCACAAAACTACGGTGCAGTGTTGAGTATATGCTGAGTCTATGGGGCAGTGTTGAGTCTATGGTGCAGTGCTGAGTCTATGGTGCAGTGCTGAGTCTATGGTGCAGTGCTGAGTCTATGGTGCAGTGTTGAGTCTATGGTGCAGTGTTGAGTCTATGGTGAGTCTATGGTGCAGTGTTGAGTCTATGGTGAGTCTATGGTGCAGTGTTGAGTCTATGGTGAGTCTATGGTGCAGTGTTGAGTCTATGGTGCAGTGTTGAGTCTATGGTGAGTCTATGGTGCAGTGTTGAGTCTATGGTGCAGTGTTGAGTCTATGGTGCAGTGTTGAGTCTATGGTGAGTCTATGGTGCAGTGCTGAGTCTATGGTGCAGTGCTGAGTCTATGGTGCAGTGTTGAGTCTATGGTGAGTCTATGGTGCAGTGTTGAGTCTATGGTGAGTCTATGGTGCAGTGTTGAGTCTATGGTGAGTCTATGGGGCAGTGCTGAGTCTATGGTGCAGTGCTGAGTTTATGGTGCAGTGTTGAGTCTATGGTGCAGTGTTGAGTCTATGGTGAGTCTATGGTGCAGTGTTGAGTCTATGGTGAGTCTATGGTGCAGTGTTGAGTCTATGGTGAGTCTATGGTGCAGTGTTGAGTCTATGGTGCAGTGTTGAGTCTATGGTGAATCTATGGTGCAGTGTTGAGTCTATGGTGCAGTGTTGAGTCTATGGTGCAGTGTTGAGTCTATGGTGCAGTGTTGAGTCTATGGTGCAGTGTTGAGTCTATGGTGTAATGTTGAGTCTATGGTGCAGTGTTGAGTCTATGGGCAGTGTTGAGTCTATGGTGCAGTGTTGAGTCTATGGGCAGTGTTGAGTCTATGATGCAGTGTTGAGTCTATGGTGCAGTGCTGAGTCTATGGTGAATCTATGGTGCAGTGTTGAGTCTATGGTGCAGTGTTGAGTCTATGGTGCAGTGTTGAGTCTATGGTGAATCTATGGTGCAGTGTTGAGTCTATGGTGCAGTGTTGAGTCTATGGTGCAGTGTTGAGTCTATGGTGCAGTGTTGAGTCTATGGTGCAGTGTTGAGTCTATGGTGTAATGTTGAGTCTATGGTGCAGTGTTGAGTCTATGGGCAGTGTTGAGTCTATGGTGCAGTGTTGAGTTTATGGTGTAATGTTGAGTCTATGGTGCAGTGTTGAGTCTATGGGCAGTGTTGAGTCTATGGTGCAGTGTTGAGTCTATGGTGTAATGTTGAGTCTATGGTGCAGTGTTGAGTTTATGGTGCAGTGTTGAGTCTATGGTGCAGTGTTGAGTCTATGGTGCAGTGTTGAGTCTATGGTGCAGTGTTGAGTCTATGGTGCAGTGCTGAGTCTATGGGGCAGTGTTGAGTCTATGGTGCAGTGCTGAGTCTATGGTGCAGTGTTGAGTCTATGGTGCAGTGTTGAGTCTATGGTGCAGTGCTGAGTCTATGGGGCAGTGTTGAGTCTATGGGGCAGTGTTGAGTCTATGGTGCAGTGTTGAGTCTATGGTGCAGTGCTGAGTCTATGGTGCAGTGTTGAGTCTATGGGGCAGTGTTGAGTCTATGGTGCAGTGTTGAGTCTATGGGCAGTGTTGAGTCTATGGGGCAGTGTTGAGTCTATGGGGCAGTGTTGAGTCTATGGTGCAGTGTTGAGTCTATGGGCAGTGTTGAGTCTATGGGGCAGTGTTGAGTCTATGGGGCAGTGTTGAGTCTATGGTGCAGTGTTGAGTCTATGGTGCAGTGTTGAGTCTATGGTGCAGTGTTGAGTCTATGGTGCAGTGCTGAGTCTATGGTGCAGTGTTGAGTCTATGGTGCAGTGTTGAGTCTATGGGCAGTGTTGAGTCTATGGGGCAGTGTTGAGTCTATGGTGCAGTGTTGAGTCTATGGGCAGTGTTGAGTCTATGGGGCAGTGTTGAGTCTATGGTGCAGTGTTGAGTCTATGGTGCAGTGTTGAGTCTATGGGGCAGTGTTGAGTCTATGGGGCAGTGTTGAGTCTATGGGGCAGTGTTGAGTCTATGGTGCAGTGTTGAGTCTATGGGGCAGTGTTGAGTCTATGGTGCAGTGTTGAGTCTATGGGGCAGTGTTGAGTCTATGGGGCAGTGTTGAGTCTATGGGGCAGTGTTGAGTCTATGGGGCAGTGTTGAGTCTATGGTGCAGTGTTGAGTCTATGGGGCAGTGTTGAGTCTATGGGCAGTGTTGAGTCTATGGGGCAGTGCTGAGTCTATGGGGCAGTGCTGAGTCTATGGTGCAGTGTTGAGTCTATGGTGCAGTGTTGAGTCTATGGGGCAGTGCTGAGTCTATGGTGCAGTGTTGAGTCTATGGGGCAGTGCTGAGTCTATGGGCAGTGTTGAGTCTATGGTGCAGTGTTGAGTCTATGGTGCAGTGTTGAGTCTATGGTGCAGTGTTGAGTCTATGGTGCAGTGTTGAGTCTATGGGGCAGTGTGGAGTCTATGGTGCAGTGTGGAGTCTATGGTGCAGTGCTGAGTCTATGGTGCAGTGTTTTTGTGTCTCTGTGGGTCTCTCCTCTTGCAGGCTTTCTTCCAGGGCAAGATGAAGATAGCTGGCAGCATGGCTGCAGCTATGAAGCTGCAGAGTTTGGTGGCAACTCTACCCAAAGCCAAGCTGTAGACACACAGACACACACACACACAGACACACACACACAGACACACACAGACACACACACAGACACACACACAGACACACACAGACACAGACACACACACATACACACAACAACAACAACCGCCATTCGCCACTAAGTGGCGGTGACGTCACCACGACGCTTGTGCCAGGCCATGTGCACCTTGAGGCCACGTGAAGTGTCGAACGCCCGCTGGCAGGAGGTCACGGGGCAGACCCAGTAGGTGCCACGGGTCGACTGACCGAGATGACCGAGATGAATGGCTGATGCACCACCTGTGCCCCCTACTGTACCAACTTTCTGTGCTTTAGCCACCCGGTGCTCTGCTCGTTGTTGTGAGCGTCGCTCCTCCGCCCTCCGTTGTTGTTGGAGGGCGACTGCCTCCAACTGCCCACACACAGACACACACACAGACACACACACAGACACACACACAGACACACACACAGACACACACACAGACGGACACACACACACAGACACACACACACAGACACACACACAGACACACACACACAGACACACAGACACAGACACACACACACAGACTTATTAAGACAGTAGTAATGAATCTGTTTGCCGATTTAACCGATGATTTAATCTCTGCCGCTAATCAGAAATTTGATGGTGGTGATGGTGGTGGTGATGGTGGTGGTGATGGTGGTGATGGTGGTGATGGTGATGGTGGTGATGGTGGTGATGGTGGTGGTGATGGTGGTGATGGTGATGGTGGTGATGGTGGTGTAGTGGTATAGTGGTGATGGTGGTGTAGTGGTGGTGGTGGTGTTTATCGTGATGGTGATGATGGTGGTGGTGGTTGTCGTGATGATGGTGGTGGTGATGGTGGTGGTGGTGTAGTGGTGATGGTGGTGATGGTGGTGGTTATCGTGATGGTGATGATGGTGGTGGTGGTTGTCGTGGTGGTGATGGTGGTGATGGTGGTGGTGGTGGTGTAGTGGTATAGTGGTGATGGTGGTGGTGTAGTGGTGATGGTGGTGTAGTGGTATAGTGGTGGTGGTGGTGGTGGTGTAGTGGTATAGTGGTGATGGTGGTGGTGTAGTGGTGGTGGTGGTGTAGTAAAACATCGCTAGCACTGGGGGAGAGACAAAGGCGGCCGGGCGTGGTGGTTCTGGCCACCCACCCCCTCTGTGTGTGTAGCCACAGTGCCGGTAGCCTTCATAGACGCTGCTGCTGACAGCACTTGCCCCTACAGCCCTGCTAGAGGCTACACGGGGCAGCTTTGTCTGTGCGTGGTGTGTGTAGTACATAGACACTGCTGCTGCTACTCGCTACTAACAGCACTTGCCCCTACAGCCCTGCTAGAGGCTACCTGGGGGAGCTTTGTGTGTGTGTAACAGCACTTGCCCCTACAGCCCTGCTAGAGGCTACCTGGGGGAGCTTTGTGTGTGTGTAACAGCACTTGCCCCTACAGCCCTGCTAGAGGCTACCTGGGGGGGGCTTTGTCTGTGTGTAACAGCACTTGCCCCTACAGCCCTGCTAGAGGCTACCTGGGGGAGCTTTGTGTGTGTGTAACAGCACTTGCCCCTACAGCCCTGCTAGAGGCTACCTGGGGGAGCTTTGTCTGTGTGTAACAGCACTTGCCCCTACAGCCCTGCTAGAGGCTACCTGGGGGAGCTGTGTCTGTGTGTAACGGCACTTGCCCCTACAGCCCTGCTAGAGGCTACCTGGGGTAGCTGTGTCTGTGTGTAACGGCACTTGCCCCTACAGCCCTGCTAGAGGCTACCTGGGGGAGCTGTGTCTGTGTGTAACAGCACTTGCCCCTACAGCCCTGCTAGAGGCTACCTGGGGGAGCTGTGTCTGTGTGTAACAGCACTTGCCCCTACAGCCCTGCTAGAGGCTACCTGGGGGAGCTTTGTGTGTGTGTAACAGCACTTGCCCCTACAGCCCTGCTAGAGGCTACCTGGGGGAGCTTTGTCTGTGTGTAACAGCACTTGCCCCTACAGCCCTGCTAGAGGCTACCTGGGGGAGCTGTGTCTGTGTGTAACGGCACTTGCCCCTACAGCCCTGCTAGAGGCTACCTGGGGTAGCTGTGTCTGTGTGTAACGGCACTTGCCCCTACAGCCCTGCTAGAGGCTACCTGGGGGAGCTGTGTCTGTGTGTAACAGCACTTGCCCCTACAGCCCTGCTAGAGGCTACCTGGGGGAGCTGTGTCTGTGTGTAACAGCACTTGCCCCTACAGCCCTGCTAGAGGCTACCTGGGGGAGCTTTGTGTGTGTGTAACAGCACTTGCCCCTACAGCCCTGCTAGATGCTACCTGGGGGAGCTTTGTCTGTGTGTAACAGCACTTGCCCCTACATCCTTCTAGAGGCTACTTGGTGTAGCTTTGTCTGTGCTGTGACAATTAAAAATTGGTGGTGAGATGTTGACTACCTCGCCTGGTACACAGGAGGTCATGGGTTCCATCCTAGACCCTGTGAGATGTTGACTACCTCGCCTGTTCTACAGGAGGTCGTGGGTTCTATCCGAGACACTGGGAGATGTTGACTACCTCGCCTGGTCTACAGGAGGTCGTGGGTGCCATCCAGACACTGGGAGATGTTGACTACCTCGCCTGGTCTACAGGAGGTCGTGGGTTCTATCCGAGACACTGGGAGATGTTGACTACCTCGCCTGGTACACAGGAGGTCGTGGGTTCTATCCGAGACACTGGGAGATGTTGACTACCTCGCCTGGTCTACAGGAGGTCGTGGGTTCCATCAGACACTGGGAGATGTTGACTACCTCGCCTGGTCTACAGGAGGTCGTGGGTTCTATCCAGACACTGGGAGATGTTGACTACCTCGCCTGGTACACAGGAGGTCGTGGGTTCTATCCGAGACCCTGGGAGATGTTGACTACCTCGCCTGTTCTACAGGAGGTCGTGGGTTCCATCTAGACACTGGGAGATGTTGACTACCTCGCCTGGTCTACAGGAGGTCGTGGGTTCCATCCAGACACTGGGAGATGTTGACTACCTCGCCTGGTCTACAGGAGGTCGTGGGTTCTATCCAGACACTGGGAGATGTTGACTACCTCGCCTGTTCTACAGGAGGTCGTGGGTTCCATCAGAGACCCTGTGAGATGTTGACTACCTCGCCTGGTCTACAGGAAGTCGTGGGTTCCATCCGAGACACTGGGAGATGTTGACCACATCGCCTGGTACACAGGAAGTCGTGGGTTCCATCAGAGACACTGGGAGATGTTGACCACATCGCCTGGTACACAGGAGGTCGTGGGTTCCATCCGAGACACTGGGAGATGTTGACTACCTCGCTTGGTACACAGGAGGTCGTGGGTTCCATCCTAGACACTGGGAGATGTTGACTACCTCGCCTGGTACACAGGAGGTCGTGGGTTCCATCAGAGACACTGGGAGATGTTGACCACATCGCCTGGTACACAGGAGGTCGTGGGTTCCATCCGAGACACTGGGAGATGTTGACTACCTCGCTTGGTACACAGGAGGTCGTGGGTTCCATCCTAGACACTGGAAGATGTTGACTACCTCGCCTGGTACACAGGAGGTCGTGGGTTCAATTCTAGATCCTGGGAGATGTTGACTACCTCGCCTGGTACACAGGAGGTCGTGGGTTCCATCCGAGACACTGGGAGATGTTGACTACCTCGCCTGGTACACAGGAGGTCGTGGGTTCCATCCCAGACACTGGGAGATGTTGACTACCTCGCATGGTACACAGGAGGTCGTGGGTTCCATCAGAGACACTGGGAGATGTTGACCACATCGCCTGGTACACAGGAGGTCGTGGGTTCGATCCTAGACACTGGGAGATGTTGACTACCTCACCTGGTAGTTCAATTTTGCCAATGAAAAGCTGTCACATGGAAGGAGCTGTGATCTCGGTGATGGTGATGATGGTGGTGGTAGTTGTGGGTATTGAGATTTGCTGATGTTACCAAGGTTTTGATGTTGCTGATTAAGTTTGCCATTGTTTGAATTAAATAATTGAAGCAATTGTGATGTTTGGAGTCACTCACACACACACACTCACAAAAACATCGCTAGCACTGGGGGAGAGACACACACACTCACTCACACACTCACTCATCACCCATCCACTCACCCACTCATTACTCAGTCACTCACCCACTCACTCATTCACCTACTCACCCACTCATCACTCAGTTACTCACACACACTCACAAAAACATCGCTAGCACTGGGGGAGAGACACACACACACTCATCACACTCACTCATCACCCATCACCCAATCACCCACCCACTCACCCACTCACTCACTCACCCATTCACTCACCCACTCACTCATCACTCACCCACTCACTCACCCATTCACTCACCCACTCACTCATCACTCACCCATCCACTCACCCATGACCCACTCATTCACCCACTCATTCACCTACTCACCCACTCATCACCCACTCACTCACCCACTCATCACCCACTCACTCACCCACTCACCCGCTCACTCACCTACCCACTCACCCACTCACTCACCCACTCACTCACCCACTCACCCACTCACCCACTCACTCACTAACTCACCCACCCACTCACTCACCCACTCACTCACTCACCACTCACTCACTCACCCACCCACCCACTCACTAACTAACTCACTTACCCACTCACTCACTCACCTACCCACTCACCCACCCACCCACTCACTCACCTACCCTCACACAAAACCAACCAGACCCACATAATTCGCGTTCATTTGCTAATATTCACTCTGCAATGTGCGTACACGTGTACATGTACACTTGTTTTTGTGGATATGTACATGCGTGTATGTATGTGTATAGGTATGTACACTAATTTGTTCGCACATTTATTTGTGATGTCAAATGCAATCCCTGTGTACGTACACTGCTGTGTATGTATACTCGTGTGTGTATGTGCACCCGTGTGTGTATGTGCACCCGTGTGTGTATGTACAAAGAGGTGTATTTCGATTTAAAGATTTCGTGACTGCAGGGATTCATCTTCTTGGTTCTTTCGGTAAAGTCACGTAGAAGTGAAGTAATAAAATAATAAAAATTAAACATTATAAAATAATTCTCACGACGGCTGCTTGGGTTGTGGCCGAAACGTCGTGAGAATTTTTTTTATTATGTTTTATTATTTTATTATTTTTTATTTTTATTATTTTATTACTTCCCTTCTACGTGACTTTACCGAAAGAACAAAGAAGATAAAGCGGTGTATATGTTCATTCGTGTATGTATCTACACCTCTGTGTTTGTCCACTCGTGTGTGGGTGTGTGTACAAGGGAGTGTATACGTGTACTCGTGTATTATTGTTATAATATTGTGTCGTATAAAGAATTGAGGGACAACGTGGTAATGAATGCGGCACCACAACAGGGAACTGTAGCCATGTGTATGTACATGGGTGTGTACTTCTCTGTGGGTATATTCGTGTGCATGTGCACTCGTGTGTATTTACACTCGTTCATGGACACGTGTGGGTCTGTACACGTGTGTGTATGTATGTACAATCGTGTGTGCTCGCATATTTGTGTGTGTTGAAACGCAATCCCTGAGCATGCACACTGCTGTATACGTTCACATGTGTTTATGTATATTGCTGTGTGCAATTACACTGTGCATGTATCTACACCCCGATGCATTTACACTCATTTGTGCATCTATACATATGTGTCGTATGTATAAATGCACAATGGGTGTACGCACTCGTGTATGCATGTGCACCCGTGTGTGTATGTACAAAGCGGTGTGTATGCACATTCGTGCATTTTCCTACAGCACTGTGTATGTCCACTCGTGTGTGGGTGTGTGTACAACGGAGTGTATATGTGGGGAGCGGTGGTGTAGCGGTTAGCGCGCTGCGCTATGAACCCGGCTACACGGGTTCGATTCCCGCTCACGGCCAACACCAGTGACGATTATCTGAACCGGTCCCGGGCCTCCCCTAGGTCGACTCAGCCTCAAATGAGTACCTGGTGCGGTGTGTAAACATTGCCACGAGGGAGACAAAGGCGGTCGGGCATGGTGCTGGCCACCCACCCCCTCGTGTACCGTTGCGGCCTTCATAGGTGCTCGCTAACAGCACTTGCCCCTACAGTCTGTTAAGGCTATACGGGTGATCTTTATCTTTGTGTGTACAAAGCGGGGTGGATGCACATTCGTGCATTTTTCTCCACCGCTGTGTATGTAAACTCGTGTGTGGGTGTGTGTACAAGGGAGTGTATATGTGTACTCGTGTAAGTTTGTATAGTGGAACACACAACTTATTTTCATATCGTGTCGTACAAATCATTGAGGGGCAACGTGGTGATGAATGCGGCACCACAACAGGGAACTACAGGGATGAGACTCCCCGCTCGTGGTGCTAAATTAATGAAAACAGCGCCACTGAGCGGACAGAGCCCCGCCCCTACAGCTCGTGCGTGTGACGTCATGAGTGTGACGTCATGAGTGTGATCAGCGGACAGCCACGATGCTGCCAGGTGAGGGTCAACTTGTGTGCTGGAGATGCTTCACCTGAAACTCGCCTCCACACGTGTTCGCTATGAATATTGTAGCAATAAGGGACGATTAGTCATCTTTATTGTTCTGCAAGAAAATTAACCTTCTTGGTTCTTTCGGTAAAGTCACGAAGAAGGGAAATAATAAAATGATAAAAATAAAACATAATACAATTATTTTATTATGTTTTGTTTTCTTCTTCATCTTCTTGGTTCTTTCGGTAAAGTCACGTAGAAGGGAAAAAAAATATAAGGTAATTTAATTCTGTTTAAATGTTTATTTTTTATCATTTAATAAAAAAAAAATGAAAAAAAAATTATAAAATTTTTTAATTCTTTTATTTTTATATTTTTTTTATTTCCCTTCTTTAACATGTCAGGTCTTTATTGTTCTGTAAATTAAAGTTAAAACTCGTAGAAACACATGCACACTCGTGTGTGAATGCACACCGCTGTATAGACAGTCGTGTTTATAAGCACACTTGTGTGTGTATGTCTACTCGTCCGTGCTTTTTTTAAGGAAGGATATGGTTGAAATAACGTACGATCAGTCATCTTTAAAAACAATTCAGGTCCTTATTAATCTGCAAGAAAATTCACGTTAATATTCGTATTGAAATCTTTATTAAAACGCATGCTCAAACAGGAAGGAACTAGACAAATTATTTCCCAATTTCAACAGTTAAAACATATTCTTAAAATTCAACACGTGAACGTCGATTTCCCCATTGACGTCCTTTTCGACTGAAGCCATTCGTCCAGAAGTCCAAGCCATCAAACACTAGAACAACGAACGTGCAATCCACGCACACTCTGAAACCTATACTTTAAGTTATTTATTTATTACACAATGATAAAAAAATTAAAGAACATGTTTAAAATATTGAGCAAAGTTGTGATCACAGTATTTCTCCAACTTTAAATCAACAAAACCACTTAACCACGAGAGTAAAATTAGAAATTGAACCACCACACAACCACTGCGCATCACACCACATCAACAAGTAGTCCGATAGGACTACAAAGCACCACCTTAACGTGACGAAGTCTAGAATAAACTTTAACACGCAATTAGCTGTGAGAGGATGACATGGCACCTTCTACCATAAACACCAAACATTTACCAGTCCCGATGACACAACCACCAGACGAAGCAACGCATCTATAGAAGTATAACATTGTTGTCATCCTGAAATAAGTGAACACTTCTGGAAATTAAAAGGAATATGTTCATCTGAACACAGTATAGACCATTCACAACATCACTCTAGCTCGGAGTACTGGAAATCACTGAAAAAATATATCTAAGAGACACGAATATACACAGGGCAACAGTTAACAGATGTACTCAATACGTTTGAGTCTTCAGCCACTCCACTACATCCAGCCATCTCTCCGGATCCAACTTCATGGGGTCGAAAGAGGAATTGTCGTCAGCGCTGATTACATCCACTACATCTCGCCATCTTTCAGGATCCACCTGCATAGGTTCGAAAGATGCATTTTTTCAGGACTCATTGCAGCACTTTGAATTCTACATTTTGATTTCACTTCCCTATCATTGCGGATCTTCTGGTGCTTGTTTCGGGGTGATGGCCGTGAACATGTCCTCTCCCTCGTAGAGCAATGAAATGGCTTCTAGCCCGAGTGTGTTTTCTTGTGACTGAAGATTTTATTTCCGTGAAAATGCCTTCCCGCACACAGCGCAATTGAATGACTTCTCGTTCGTGTGTGTTTTCTGGTGTCTGTTTAGATGTGATTTCTCCGCAAATGCCTTCCCACAAACAGAGCATTTGAATGGCTTCTCGCCCGTGTGTGTCTTCTGGTGATCGTTAAGATGGGATTTCCGTGAAAATGCCTTCCCACACACAGAGCAATTGAACGGCTTCTCGCCCGCGTGTGTTTTATGGTGTCTGTTAAGATGGGATTTCCGTGAAAATGCCTTCCCACACACAGAGCAACTGAACGGCTTCTCGCCCGCGTGTGTTTTATGGTGTCTGTTAAGATGGGATTTCCGTGAAAATGCCTTCCCACACACAGAGCAATTGAACGGCTTATCGCCCGTGTGTGCGTGGCGATGTGGATAGTTTATCTGCTCCATGTGACTGATTCTTCAGAGCAGAGTAACAGTCGCGGGTGTTGTTGAGAGTTAAAGGCACCCTCTAAGCTGCGTGGATGTCTGTCTCGAATCGCCAAAAAGCAAACTCTCACTAACGTCTAACCTACACACAGTAACGTCTCGTAAGTCGGGCTATACGCGACTACCAGTTTTATCCACTAACGAAGACACTTACTTGTTGATGCACGGCGTGTCGATGTCCCTGTAACCCGTCTGAAGAGATCGCCACGAACTCGCCAACCAGTCGCCAGGCAATCGTGCTCGCCAGGCTGGGTCTCGCAGGAGAAGGGTAATCTGCAGAGCGAGGAGTCGAGCGTCTATCCTCAGTGAAATCCCTCTCGAAATGGTCTTGAGGTCTGAATTTAAGCCCCTTATAACTCCC